CAACGCTTTTACAGAAAAATGTAATATGCAAAGCTCCAATAATTAATTTATAATCACATACCGAACTCGATGAAAAAATTGAACGCCAATATTTTTGAAACAACTTTTAAAAATACTCTGATTAAAAAATGTTAATGAATTTCTTAGTGATAATATTTAAATTGTAACACTTAACAATAATATTTAATAATATGCCTGATGCAGAAAGCAGTACTTCTGGACACGGCGCGTATTGTCCGGAAATTCCTGTCTCTGGAGCCCTGACCACCGGCACCGGTAGCTTGGATTTCTTCCGTTACTGGTGGGCTACTGCTTTTTATATTTTTAAATGTTTTTTTTTTACATATAATGAAATATTTAAAAATATTTAAATCAAGTATGAAAATAAATAAAGGGAATAATAATCTGTAATTATTCTATCCAGTTTGTTTCTTATGACTTATTTCTATTGATTTTATTATTTCATTGTTATTGACATTATTAGTGCATCTTGACATTTACTTATGGATTTATTGCAAAATTAATTACTTAATATTTGTACACCAGTCATGGTTAAGCATGTTGATACAAACAATACTGTACATCTATAGTAGGTAAACATTCATTTTTGCATGTATTAAGTATTATAACCTACACATAAGATCGAATTATACAAGTGGCTCAATAAATGTAATTTTTATAGTTTATGTGATTTTATGAATGTGAAATGTTAATTACCTGCTCACTTCTGTCAAAATTTTGCATGCTATGTTTTATCCTAGCGAAACATGTTGAGCTATTGTAATAATATTAACACCAATGTATACCATGTTTTACGCAAATAAATGATTTACTTACTTACTTACTTACTTACATATTTTGGCAAATAAAACGATCTTTATCTTTATCTTATCTTTTTGCAAAGCTGTACATACTTACAAGTGATAGAATTTTGACACATTGTTAATTTATACAATTTTTAATCATAATATCTACAAAATAAATATTGTTCTCAATATTCGTTAATTATTGGCAACACAGTAACTATATTGAGACTGGCAACACTACTCGGATAATGTTGAACGACCAGCGACCTTGAAAACTCGAAGTAAACATTGTATTATCAAAGTAGAACTGCAATATTTTGACAAAAAAAGATGTAATAATAAATTATGTCTACGTAATAACTCAATGTTCGAAATAACATCCGTTAATTTAATGTATTGATTGTAAAATCTGTGAAAATGTGTCCTATAAATTGCATTTCAAGACAAAGTAATTCGGTGAGTAACATGGTTATCAATTCAACCTATAAATAGTGTTGTTTATCATTATCGGTTAGTGTTATTCATTCTCCAATGTCCCAGTGAATTAGTCAAATATAACCATAAAAACCTTGTCCTGACTATAACGAGTCGACAACTGAATTTTATATAAAAATTCTGCGAGTATAAACGGCTACACGTCAAGCTATGCTAAACCATTATAAAGCGACCGTCGAATGAGCGAAACGATTGTACAAAGCGGGACCTTGATATACTGGTTCTGTAGAGCTCGATATTTAGCCGGGCGTACTTATCTATTAAAAAGCTATTTTGTTTCATTTACAATGTAAGTTTTTGTTATAAGTAGGTATATTTTCAATATATAATGCAACAATAATATTATTTATCGTGTGAACTAAACAAGTTAGTCAGAAGCACACTCGTATACCTATTTTATAAACAAAAGAAGAACATAAATAGGATTCCTTACTGAAAGTGGCTTGCTTGCCACAGATAACATAAACATATAATACTAGCTACATACTTCCACGCGGTTTCACACACTCTACTCAGCTCCTACTTGTCTTAGCGTGATGTTTTATAGCCTATAGCCATCCTCGATAATGCGATATTCAACACAAAAAGAATTATTCAAATCAGACTTGTAGTTATGGAGATTAGCGCGTTCAAACAAACAAACAAAAAACAAACTTCCGCTTTATATAATAGTATAAGATAACAGTTTTTTTTCCAATTTACGGCTCGATATCGGATAGTATGACGTTGGAATATAAAATTAAATTATCTTCTATATCTAAGTATATAATCTATACATATACATAAATTCTGTACATGTAATAACTATCAGGGGGTATCATCAATTTAGGGAGTGATCGATACTAATGCCAAAAATGCAATCATTAAAAATTTTGTCTGCCTGTCTGTCTATCTGTATGTTCCATATAAAAACAAAAACTACTCGACGGATTTTGGCGAAACTTGGTACAATTCACACTCCTGGAGAGATTATAGTATACTAGCTTTTTCGCACGTTTTCGCTCGCGTCATAAAAGGATAAAAGTAGCCTATGTGACATATACAATACACACAGCGCCATCTATACCAATACTTTTTGGGGTGCGGTGTGGGGTGTGGGGCGTTAGCACAATATGCTACGCCGACGACACGCTGGTGCTAGCGCACGGGAGGTCACACCAGGCGGCGGCCGACTTAATGGCGACAGCGGTTGCGACAGTCGTTGAGAGAATCCGGCAGTTGGGACTCGAGGTGGCGCTCCACAAGTCCGAGGCCATGTGTTTTCATGGCCGCGGGAACGCGCCACCTCCGGGTGGGTCCCAAATAACGGCGGGAGGAGTTACCATCGGCGTCGAGACGACGATGAAGTACCTAGGACTCGTCCTCGACAGTCGGTGGAACTTCATTGAACACTTCCGACGTTTGGCTCCAAAGTTGGAGAGGACGGGGGCTGCGTTTAAACGCATCCTCCCCAACCTCGGGGGGCCAAACGCCTCCTGCCGGAGGTTATACGCCGGGGTCGTGCGGTCCATGGCCCTCTACGGCGCCCCTGTTTGGGCGCCAAACCTGTTGCGGCGTCCCGCTCGGACGCTGCTCATGGCACAGAGGGTCATGGCGATCCGAATGATCCGCGGATACCGCACGATCTCTGGGGAGTCGGCGAACCTCCTTGCCGGATTACCGCCGTGGGATCTGGAGGCGAAGGTGCTCGCGCGCGTGCACAGCATGCGCGCGGAGGCACGTCGCCGGGGCGAAACTCCGCTGCCGCGCCAGATAAGTGCGTGGCGGGATGAGCTCCGGCGCGATCTCATGGCGGAATGGCAGCAACGACTGTCGCAACCGAGGGCTGGGCTCGCTGCCATCGCAGCGGTAAGTCCCCTCTTTGAGGAGTGGCTTGAGAGACGCTACGGCGTCCTCACCTACCGCCTGACGCAGGTCCTCACCGGACATGGAAGTTTCGGGAGGTACCTGTGTCTGATGGGGCGGGAGGAAACGCCCGGGTGTCATCACTGCGAGGACCGCCCTGAGGACACGGTGGAACACACGGTGGGAGAATGCCCTTCGTGGGCTGAGCACCGCCGTGTCCTCAGGGAAGTGATCGGCGATGGCGACCTCTCGCGTCCGGGCCTAGTGCAGGCCATGATGCGGAGCGAGGGGGATTGGGATGCCGTCTCCTCCTTTTGCGAAGCAGTCATGCTAGCTAAGGAGGAGGCGGGACGCGTGAGGCAGCGAAGCGCTGCCTCCTCGCAACCCAGCCATCGCGAAGGACACACCGGGCGTCGGGGATCGCGGGACGATCTCCGGCCACCGTAAGCGCGGGCCTGCGGACGGCGAGCATGGGTGGCTCCCCGTCCGACCAGAAACAGACCCGAGCGTACGGCGCGTCGCGTTCCGCGCGCGCCTCAAAGAGCCATCAGACCACCACAGATGGGGCCCAATAGGGCCGATGCCGATTCGGAGTCGCGGAGAACCTAACGGGTAACCGGGGCTCCGGCTCGACGTGCAGGAGAAGGAACGGGGTGGTTTTTAGTCAGTAAGAGTCTGACACTCCCTCCCGCCTCACCCAGGCGGGAGCAGTCATTCGATGATTTTCCCCCCTTAAAAAAAAAAAAATACCAATACTTTTGTTTTCCCTCGGAAATATCAAATTTTTTCGGGATAAAAATTACCCTATTATTTAATCTGGACTTTTAACTTTACGTCTGCAAAATTTCAAAGCAATCGGTTTAGTAGTTACGGCGTGAAAGTGGAACAAACAAACTCACTTTCCGATTTATAATATTATTAGTAAGGATAGTAAGGATAAGGATTTTCATCACGCTACAATCAATAGGAGCAGAGCAGTGAAGGGAAATGTTGGGAAAACGGGAGAAATTACTTTATTTTTAAGGGTCTCGGGTTCGATTCCCGGGTCGGGCAAAATATTACTGGATTTTTAAAAATGTCAGTAGTAGCACGGAGTCTGGAAGTGAGCCCAGTATATGGCAAAAGGCTCACCCCTTATTACATGGGACTCATAACATAAATAGTGAAAAGTGGGTGTTACATTGTCCAGTGGCATTAAATGCCACAATGTGCACCTCTGGCTATCCATTCGGGGATAAAAAGGCGTGATGTTATGTTATGTTAAATAAATAAATATAAAACAATTTTAGGTAATCAATATAACGGCCACTTTGCTGATTTTAAAAGATAGAACTGCCGGAAATTGGTTCCACAGACGTCAACAAAAGCACAGATGTCGCTCGCGCCCGCATTGTCTGTTGTATTCTTCTGATTCTTTTTTTTGACATTAAATATGGCTAGTCTGATAATAATACTTTTGTTTGCAGAACTCCATTGGACTGAACATTGGGAGAAACAAAATATATTAATTCCTTCAAATGTCGCTGATTCTGAGGCGATACGAAGTTCACCAAGACAGGTAGTAATGGATCATCGACATCGCCATCACCCTCAACACGTGCACTGTTGAACTAAAGTCTCTCACATCAGACGAGGTTTGCTATAATAGTCACGCATGACTGAAGGCTCGGGTATCGCAGTTAGGTCAACGAAAATGTGGTAAATACCGTTACCTATATCTCGGTGACTGGTAGCAGGAAGACAAACTGATATTTGTAAGAACTGCCAAAATGTATAAGAAACGAGAAGGAACGTCGGGCATTAAAGGCCAGCTGTACGAAACAAAATTAATAAGCCTCATTAACTTCAGAGCGAAATTCGACAACAGCCTCAAAGATTGTTATTTAGCGACCAACATGGCAGACATAGGAACATTTGACGATATATGCTTTAGGGCTAAAACAAAAATTGGGAAAAACAATAAACAAATCGCCATTTTCATTCAGGCCAAACACAAAGAAGCAGATAAAACTGTTTTGACAATAAACAGCAAAAATGACTTAGCTAAATGGTTTACCAGCTACCTAACCATCAGACGTTCCTTCAAACAAATCAATGAAGACGTCTTTTTTAAGGGAAAGTTCCAGGACATTGATACATATTTCATTATGTATACGACAGCTAGAGATGATCATGATAATGTACGATTTGATAAAGAAGTTGCTCATAAACTCAACAGTTTAATAGCTACAGGGAACGATGGCGTGCAGCCGAATTACAAAGAAACAGATCTAGAATTCCTTTGTGAGATAGTCATGAAGGAACAGCTAGTCGACCTGGCTACTTTATTAGCAGAATTTATTAATAAAAACGACAATACTCTACTGTCAATAAACAACGATCTGATACTCATTTATCACGTAATTCTGGCGAAAAAGTTCTTACTTATAAGCGAGATTCGAGATAAAAACGAAAACAGTGAACACAGAACCGCTCGTTTCCGTAGTGAATTCTATACAAGTGATGATGAATTTATTAAATTATTTAGGGACACGCTTTATAAAGAAATTCTAAAGAAAAGAGACATTGATGATGTTACTAGGAATGAACTGATAGCAAATCTACTTGAGGAACCTTTGGATCTTAAAATATTAGCAAAACTTATTTACAATGTTGTAACACTAAACGACAATGGAAAACTAGAATTTGTTGACAAATCTATGAGTGAAGATTTAAGACATAGATTAGAAAAGGTCATTGTTCTTCGGGCAAATGTACATGAAGCCATTTCTTTAGCCGCGGAAGAAATCCTTAGACCAAAAGAAATTAAAGTCCCAGTGGCATTCGGCAATAAAGATCTCACAGTAAGAGGGAATGAAGATAATAATGAAGATTGGACAGCTGACAGCATACTTGTAAAAGTCAAAAACAAAATCGTGGAAATGTTATTGAAGTCTGCACCGGGAAATATAGTTACAATAGACAATACTGTGGATAAGGAATTTTCGAAAATCAACATTGATTTAGGCAGTATTGTAGGAAATATTTTAATAGCGGACCAAAATAGTGAATTCATGAAATTCTCAGACAATACGGAAACACTAGGTGACATTGCGAAACAGCTGTTTTCTGAACTACAATCCGTAATACCAAATTTACAAGATTTTAAATTTAGTTCAGAAGTTGAAACGTTTCCAGTGCTTTCGTTTGAGAAGATAGATTTAATAGAAGATGATGTTTCAGCGCTCGCGACAACTATTGTTGCATTTCTGAATAAAAACACTGATTCTGTTATGCCAATGACTGATATAATCTTACGACGATACCACGTGGTTCTTGCACGTAAAGTATTGGACATTTCTGATATTATTGGCGAAGGTGACGATGCGTACAGACTAGCGACATTCCAACAGGATTTCTTTGAGTCAGAAGAAGATTCACTCGTGTCGTTTAAACGACATTTATACTCTGAAATACTAAAAGGACGAAATTTACATGACAAAGAACTTGAAGACTCGTTGGAACTGCATCAATCAATAGAAGACGATGCTATAAATGTGTTTGCAAAGACAATATTAATGAAACGAGAGTTTAAAGTGTCAACCGCTTTCGGAAACAAAGACATCAAACTTAAAAAAAGTAAAGCAGAAAAAAGATTAGATCATTTGAAAATGAAACTATGTGAACTGATGAGTAAATCAGGTGACGATAAAGTTGTTACTATTGAGGAGTCTTTAGGAGAAGGTTTCCTGAAGCTCAATGGAGGTATAGCAGGCATTGTTGGAAATATTTTAATACTCGACGAAGATACTCACCTATTTAAATTCACAGCCAATTGGGAATCACTAGAAGATACTTCCAAAAGGCTGTTCACAAAACTGCACAGAAAAACTCCCAACTTACATGAATATAAATTTAACGTAAACGCCAAAAGATTCCCAAAGCTCTCGTTCAAAAGAAATGAAGATGATGAAAATAAGGCGAAAGATTTCTTGAACAGACTTCTGTTTTACACCAACCAAGCTGACGAGAAAGGCGTCGAGAAATGTTTAAAAGACGAAATTGAAGATCACCAATGTCTAAACGTTGACAGTATCAAAGTGACGGCCGACGCCATTTTCTTACAATACCACGACCAAATACAACAATGGTGGATGTTAAAGGAGGCGGAATATCTGACGAAAAAGAGTTCGCATTACGAAGACGCCTTAAAATTGATTGTCGACAAACCTCTTTTGTCAGTCTTTAGTAAAATGTACACAGTGAAAATGGGAAATATTTTTGAAATAACTTTTAATGATCAAGCTGTCAAATCATTGAATCTAACAGAAAAATTAACAAACGTCATTTTCGTAACGGAGAATATTCCTTTGACAGTAGTAAAAATTATGCAATCTTTAAATAAATTCAAACATACTGTCATGGATTTAGAAGATCTCCTTCAAACGAAAGACTACTCCACACTTATTGCCGAACTAACAAAAATGGAACAAAATAAAATAATAATACTAGCGTGCGACAACATACAAAGAAGCTCAAATAAAAGATTGGAAAATATATCAAAAATTTTGATTGAAAAACGGATAATTATCGTCACAAACACAGCTTTGCTAGACACGGTCCAGATACATTTTTCAGGTATCAAGGAAATAAAACACGACAGATGTAGTCTATCAGACATGAGTGAGAATTCACAGAAAACTGTATTACAAGCAAAAGTACATTTTCAAGATGTCGAAGTGACATTAGACACTATCGTTGACGAGGAAGCGATGCAAACCGTCGAAGGAAATATTCTTAATGACTTCATTAATAATGAAACAAGATGTTTTGGTAACTCAGTTACGAATCTAAATTATGAGAAAGTTAAACACCTTTATGTGGACAGAAGGATGTGTATAGTGTGTGAGGCAGCAAAGGCCAGATATTTTATTCCTAAACAAATAGTACTATCCAATCTGAATGACTTGTCTAATGTTGTCCTATTGGCAGCAAAGCCAGGTATGGGAAAGTCAACTCTATTGACCCACTTGTCTATTAAAACTAAAGAGTCAAACCCAAAAACTTGGATAGCGCGAGTCAATTTGCTCGACCATTGTGAAATATTCAATAAATGGCAAGAAACCAAAATGAAAATTGATGTTTTGGAGACTTTGAAGTTTTTATGTCCTATTATTGTCGGAGGGAACAAAAAGAGTGACTTAGAATGCGATTTAGAGGAATCGAATGGTGAAGTACATCTAAAATCGTGTCGTATAGACAATCCGTGGACAGTGTTTGAAATTAAAATGTTCCTAGACTATTTTAACAGGAAGGAACTTGTCTTTTTATTCGATGGTTTCGATGAAATATGTCCGCTCTATACAGAGGAAGTAATGTGTTTATTAAAAGTTGTACGGAATTACACAAATAAACATAAAATGTGGATCACGTGTAGGTTTTACGAAAGGGTCTTGTCAGGTTTGGAACAAGAATTCGGGTATCCATATGAATTGCAAGCTTTCAACGAAATCGAATTCGATGAATATTTGTGGAAATATTGGCAATCAACGATTATATTTAGAAATTTGAACAAACAGCAATGCAGTAACTTGTGTAGCTTTATGGAATTTATGTCAAATTATTATTATAATTCGGATAAGAGAAATCCGACCATGACCGGTGTTAAAAAGAAGGAAAAGTATCAACTGTTGTTTTTGAAAGTTTGCTTCAATTTTTTACACTATTTGAGGAAGGAACTGAACATCTGTCCAGATGATGTAATACAAACATTCAACTTACTTTTCCACGACTGCACTCATTCGTTTCGTTTTGTGGAACGTTTCGATACTCCGTTACATCTTTACCTGAACGCTAATTATTTCCAAAACCAAGTCAATGACGAAAGTATAATACCAAACAGATGGAATTTGGACATAAACGCTTTTACAGTTTACGACAAATTTATTGAAACCAAACTCAAAAATATAAGATTCCAAGAGAAAAATAAAATCGATTTATACAATCCCGACAATTTAACGATTTATGAGAAAATCCGAGAAGACTTCTTTGCGAAACATTACAAATTAGGTGCTTACGCTATTTTTAATCGAGACATCAACAAAATATTTGACGAAAAAGAATTATTTAAAATTAGAAAAACCATAGAGAATATTAAAATTGGCGCGGAAAAAACTGGATTAGTACTTAGCATCGTTAACAATATACCAACATTTATACATATGACTTTTACAGAATATTTCGCAGTCGAATATATCTGTCAGTCATTAAAATCGGCTTCAGGCACAGAAAGTCAAAGAAATATTTGGGATTTCATTTTAAATATCGTATTTTTAAAATGCGAAATAAACGTGCGCCAAATGTTTAGCTACAGATTAAAAACGGACAATGTCGTGAAAGCGATAGTAAATGAGCATGTAGAAATAATTTTTGATCTATTATTGACACAGGGTACGGGACTTTACGCTTACAATCCTGACGATTTCAGTAAAGAATTGTATTTAAAAATAAAAAACCATTTACAAAGTGCCATGAGGGATGACCTTACAAACTTTGTTACAATAATTAGCGATTTGAAAGAAAAAATGTCGGAAGATTATAGAAAGCAGTGGCTGTCTACTGCGACGACGCGGTTGATTTACCTACGAGAGAGAGAAGAATTATCCTTAAAAAAAACTAATCAAGTGCGTAAGGCGCAAGGCCACAGAAGACGCCGGAAGACGCGCGTGCCCATAGAGTGACGATAGCGCCAAAAAATATAAAAGGCGCCTTTGGGTTGCGCTTCAGGCGCCTCAGTCTAGTCAAGGAAAATACATTTACATAAACTACGTTTAAAAATACCGAAAACAATCACCTATTTTTTGAAGTCGATTAATTAATAGGTCGCGGAGAACCTAACATGTTACCGGGGCTCCGGCTCAAAGTGCAGTAGTAGGAACGGGGTGGTTTTTAGTCACTAAGAGTCTGACACTCCCTCCCGCCTCACCCAGGCGGGGGCTGCCATTCGATGACTATCTCCCTTTAAAAAAATAGCAAATTTTTTTCCTTACACTTACGCAGCCAATCGTGAGATAATCCCACATATATGCATACCTATAGGTCAAACTGAGAATCGTTTTTCTGAAGTCGATTAATAAAAACTGCACGGCTACGGGCTAATGCAGTGGCTGGGCAAGAGGCTGCCATGTGCGGGACAGCGTTTAAAAAGAAAGATATTCATAAATAAAATAATAAAAGCATGTTTTTGTAATCTATATACGTACTTAAGTAACTTTAATTAATAATAATATTTAAAGAACAAATTGTGGAATGATTTTTTATATTTATACTCGTTACTTAAATAAAATAAATTGATTTTTGTACTAGTACTTAGAATGTTTTATTTTTCTCCGTTTTCAAGTTTCAAGTGAGAAGTACCTTTCTTATTTCTTTTTTTAAGAGACGGGCGTAGAAAATGCTTCTCTCTAATATAAGGACTTTATAGTAAGAATACTATGATGTCACTTTGATATATCGTCTACAGCAATGTGGTTCTGCATTTCTGCATAATTACTTATACCTACTGACAACAAAAACAACATTAAATAATGACGCACTTACTATATAATCTAGGGACTCCCCGTAAAATACAAGGATTGCTAGATTTTAAAATGATGACCAGTCTACAATCAATTTATTTCATACTTGATTTATTATTATTTAAGAAAAATTGAATAAATATTTAAAAATTAAAATGAATGCACCGCTAACAATGAACGTGTTCCAGCGTCTACCATTTTCGAATTTACGATTTTCGAGCATTTCTTTCGACGCGTAGACAATGATTACAAACGGAATGTTTATTTCTTAAATACCTATATTCGACAATTTAAATGTTGTTTATGTGCAGTCCTTAGCTAATATTAAATTGAATAACGTGTTCATTTATCTATCACGTTGATTAAAGAGAAATTGTAAAATAATATAACATAATGTCTAAACATAAATGCTTATAAATGTGAAAAACATTCGCTCTAATGTTGGTACTCTGTCATTCATTTTGATTTGACAGTTTGACACAAATCAGACAAAACGAAAATAATTTTACGACAACAATATTACTAATACGCAGTTGTATTTTTAAATAAATCAAAATGAGTGTACGTGAGGAAGACAGGCAGAAAAATAGCTGCCCAAGTCGTGGTTTAGGCATCGCTGCTGCGGCCATCGGGGTTGGAGTTGGAGCAGCTTTATATTATTTCTTTAACAAACGCCAGGAAACACCAAATTCTGAAGGCTCCACTAGCGATTGGCAATGTGAACAACCTCAGACCTTGTAAGTAGTTTATTAAGACATATTTTACCTTGTACGATTTTATTTGGCACAATTTTGCAATTTGCAATGCAAGGTAGGTTAAAAAAATTTCCTTAATTAATATTTGTTTACCTTCCATAAATGAATGTTAAACCTGGTCAACTTTTTTTATTTTATCATCTGTGATTTTTTGGCGGTTAAGTGTATTTTACGTACCTATTAACTAAATCATTAGGTTAAAAATAAATCATGGATTATTTAAGATCTTGTTTTAAGAGGTATGTACCTATGTAATAGTATATTTTTTTTACATTAATTTTTAAGTACCCATGTTCTTAATTGTACCTAATATAAGTGGAATAGTTTTTATTACTATCTTTGTAACATTAACTGGGTATTACACAAGTTACAAACTAACTGAATAAATATAAGTTAATTTCTACAAAAACACTACCACTTACATTTTTAAGCCTCTTACAGCTGAAATTAATTCTTGCATTTCTTGTTTTCCACCAGAAAAATGTTGCCCACTAGAATTTCCTCCTGGCGTAAATGTGGGTGCGTTTACATATAAATACTAGTTCAGATACACGACACGCAGACCCAGAACAACAATCTGTGTTGTTCGGGGTCTGGGTAAAATTACACAAATAGTTGCTGCTGCTCAAGGGGTCTCGGGTTCGATTCTCTGGACGGACAAAGTATTACTAGGTTTTAAAAAAAATTCTTAGTGGTAGCACAGACCCTGGAATTGTGCCGGGTATATGGCAATAGGATCACCCCCTAAATGGGACTCATAACATAAATTGTGAACAGTGGGTGTTACATTGTACAGTGGCATTTAGTGCCGTAATGTGCACCTCTGCCTACCCCTTCGGGGATAAAAGACGTGATGTTATGATATGTTCCAAATTTAATTCCAATCCCTTCAGCCGTTCCCCATCAAACATACACACAAACTAATGAATATTGCAATAATTTGTATAATATTAGTGAGAAGTCATCATCATCATTATCAACAGCCTATAAGTGGCCACTGATGACCAAAGGCCACTTCTCACACGCAGAAGGTTTGAATATTAATCACCAAGCTTGCTCAATGCGGATTGGCGATTTCAAACTTTTGATTGGAAATTATAATTAGAATTTTTGTCCTATTAACTTAATTTACTTCCTCATTAGCCGAGTTGTCGCAAGTGAGACTGCCGGGCAAGGGTCTTGGGTTCGATTCCACGGTCGGGCAAATTAATACTGGGTTTAAACAAAAAAAATTCAGTTGTAACATGGTGCCTGAAATTGTGCCCGGTATATGGGTGTTACATTGTACAGTGTCATTGAGTGCCATAATATGCACCTTTGCCTACCCCTTCGGGGGTAAAAGGCGTGATGTTATTTAAAAATTAATGTATTAATTTCAGCTGTATGAGAGCACTGAAACTCGGCATTATCTTTGTAGTTATTTTATATGTATTTAGTTTATAGGTAATTTAATTTAATTTATCTTTATAAGACCTAGGTACTAACAATAATATTATTGAGTTCTTATCTATATTTTTAAGAAGTACAAATTACAGTTTTATAGAAATATAAATACACTAGACATAACGATTTTGTATTCATTTAAACATATGTTATGTTATACTAAGATGTTGTGGGTGCGTTTACAAACATACAAATTCACAAACGCCACACATACAGACCTGGGTGCTTACTCTTGAAACCAATCTCAATGTCAATGCAATTTCAATCCAATAAAATCTCAATAATTACTCAATGTCAACACTATACAACCACAATCGTAGCTGTTACAATAGCATTCAGAGTACGGAATATAAAGACAAACTCAATACTATTTAGTTCATTCATATCCACGCAATACTGAAGCAAAGGGCGCTAGTATTGCAACTCGAGAGGACGAAATTTCACAATACCAATGTCGATCGACCGGACTTGGATTCAAGAGTAAGCCCCCTGGAATCAAACAAAAAACAAAAAGTTTCTTGATGTAACACGCTTATACGTTACGCGGTAACCATTTGCCCAGCCGCCGCGCCAACCGGTGCCTTTTAAGTCTAGTCAGAGCCGAATTAAACCTAGGCAAGCATATCATAAGCACCCTAAATGTTTTTGGCGCCGCCGTCACTCCTATGTGCAGTTGTGCACGCGCGTCTCGCGGCGCCCCTCTGTAACCTGGCGCCCGGCACTTGTCTAGTTTGCCTTAGGGATAATACGGCTCTGTGACTAGTGGTAGGTATAAAAAAATTAAATCACACATGATGTTGTACAAAGTCACGGTTATATTATCATACAGTATGGTAACTCGGCCGCATGACAAAGTTAAATACCTACAGCCGCGCGGTACGTAAACATGCGTTAGGGTTGCCCGTCTCCAGTATTTTAATTAAATTTGCCTGCTTTCTGATTTGTGATTGTAAATATCCTTTTTTTTTTAATATAAACAAATAAAATATTTTATATATTGAATAGTGAGTGTTCAATAAATATGCGTGTTGTTTGTTATTTCGTAGACTTAATTTTAAAAAAAATGTTTTTGTTTGAAAAACAAATCGGACTTATAAATTTGCGACCGAAAAATATGTGCAATAAAAATACAACCAAAAACGGCACAATAATTTCTACTAGCTTTTACCCGCGGCTTCGCTCACGTCACAAAAGGATAAAAGTAGCCTATGTGACATATACCAATACACACAGCGCCATCTATACCAATTCTTTTGTTTTCCCTCGGGAATAACAAAATTTTCCGGGATAAAAAGTACCCTATTATTTATTCCGGACTTCTAACTTTACGCCTGCAAAAATTCAAAGCAATCGGTTTAGAAGTTACGGCGTGAAAGCGGAACAAACAAACTCACTTTCCCATTTATAATAGTATAAGGATCGTCATATTAAATATGTACTGGAACTGATATCCAGAGGAAAATCGCATTGTTAAAAAACAACACACCGTCCGTTCGTGACTGCGGTACCCCACTGATATGATATGTTATATATCTATGGGTACAGCCGTGACCACAGATATATTAAAGAAGAACTTTTTTAATATTTCTGTGGCCGTGACCATAGAGTATAGTAACATATGCCGAGACTGTCTACGCCCCCAGCGCACCCCCCGACATCGAGGCGCGTAGGTATAGCTCGCGTTTCATCCGTTTGTTTGAAGTTGAAATACTGTATGATAATTATTATTACCGTGACAAAGTAGTATAGCCTCTTGCTCTTAGGGGTGTTGGTCCGACATTGGTGACAGCTCGCCGCTACTGGCTTAGTCCTTCCGCGCGGTACGCCGCGATAGTCGGTCACGTTTGGCGCGCAAACAGGTATTTAATAGTCAAACTTATTATCTCATTTATAACCGATATTTGTTGAGTTAATTGTTATGGTTTTTAGCTTATTCACTTAATTATTCGACGAGTAACTCGACTAGTTGGGAGCTATGCTAGAGGCTCATATTTATGAGCAGCAGTAGCGTTACTATAAACTATAACCCTTCGGGGCCCGTGGCAAATTCATCGAATGAGCTCTCGTTCCCAATAAAAAACAGAAGTTCAGATGAAAAACTTTTGAAGGGGGAGAGCTTTCAGCGACCCGCGACGCGGTAGCTGTCGCGCTGCTATGGGCTACTCGAGTCTCGCGCCGCACGAGCCCCTAGCATGGCTTGAAACTAGTCGAGTTCCTCGTCGAATAATTACGTGAGTAAGCCGAAAAACGTAATAATTAATTTAGTATGTCTTACGACAGTTATAATATAAATATTTGTTGAGATTTTTATACCTTTTATGCCTTTATGCCTTATTTTTATGCCTTTTCTTTTGATATCCATAATGGAGGTAGTTGTGGAAAAGATTCGATAATATTGTATGGTCATAAAGATCAAATATCAGATCGATCTGTCGTACATCTGTGTTACAGTTCAAACTGCAATAATGAATCAATATCAGCGGCGTTGTTATAACGTCCTTTTTTTTAAGGGGGGAAATCATCGAATGACTTCTCCCGCCCGGGTGAGGCGGAAGGGAGTGTCAGACTCTTACTGACTAAAAACCACCCCGTTCCTTCTCCTGCATATCGAGCCGAGTATGCGTTCGAGAACGCGTACTCGTTTCGAATTTTTTGAATTAAAACAAACTCGTACTAAGGCCGCTGAACGTCAGCAAGGCATTTGTATTGCGGGTATCTATGGGCGGCGTTGAATACTTACCATGGTGTGATTCATCTGTTCGTTTGCCGGTCTCTCCCATAAAATAAAACCTGTATTTTAGTTATATATGGGATAAGCCGGTAGACGAACAGACAGATCACCTGATGGTAAGCAATCGACGTCGCCCATGGACTCCGGTCCATGCCTTTGTGCCTATGCCTAAAGTGGCGTTTGGCTAAAGGCTCAGGCCTGAGCTAAAGGCTCGGGCCAGCCAAACGCCACTTTAGCGCTTGTCTACAGAGAGAGTAGAAATCAAAATGTATGGGGATGACACTGACAAGTGTCAAAATTTACGTCAATTCCGTATAATTTGGTTTTCTATTCTACATGTAGACAAACGCTAAATGGTATTTGGCTACGGCTGCTGGAACAATAGAGGCGTTACAAGTGTGTTAGTCTATGGTTTTAAAGCAGTTGGCCGAGTAGACGCAAGTGCGACTGCTGGGCGAGAGGTCTCAGGTTCGATCTCAAGGTCGGGCAAAGTATTACTGATTTTTTTTTAAATTCTCGGTAGTAGCACGGAGTGTGGAATTGTGTCCGGTATTTAATAATAGACTTAACCCAATAGCGCAAAGTGCGTGTTATGTTGTACAGTAGCATTAAGTACTATAATGTCTACCTCTGCCTACCCCTTCGGGGATAAAAGCATTAGGTTATGTTAAGTATTTTAAAATTAGGTAGGCAGTGTGCTGTTTTTTGTCACCGTCGTGGTATGAAAAAGTTTCTACCAGACGGACATTAAAATAAATATCAGTCATCTATATTGTCGTTTGTCGCATATGGCAGTTGTCTAGTTATCCCCAGGTCCGAGACAGCTAACGCATTGTCAGTTGTAACTATAAGGATATTCCGTCATGAATCATTTTAATTGGCGACTAAAATATGATGCAATCCTTTATATTTGTATCAGAACTACGCAATACAACAGGTTAGATGCCGAATTTTTATTTTAATGTCCGTCTGGTAGATTATTTTAAATCATTAGACACGTATTTTTTATTTTCTTACAGAATCGAATACTTTCGACGATATATTGATTTGAAATGTCGCGTGACGTCACTTCTATGTACATTTTATACGTAGAGATGACGTTTTAGCCCCCACCCCTAAAACTTTGATTCGTTTTATTATACAACAAAATCAAAAATACGTGTCTAATGTTTTTTCATTACCTAACTTACGGACTAATTAGATTTTTAATTTTCATACCCCGTCATCATCCCGACTATTGTTATTAATTAAATGGTTTTATTTAACTTGCCTCGTCAGTTTGTTTGGGTCAAAAGTTGTTGGAATTTCACCCCTTCCTGACGACAGATCGATCTGATATTTAGTATACACTCTTACGTCCAGTCTCTTTAACTTATCTATCTGTACATTTGCTTACAAGAGATAGAATTTTGACATGAGCTCCATACAAAATGTGTTGTACAAAATGCTGGACGTTAATCTTGATGATCATACTACACCGTGAAATCTATTCTGTTTTAGTCGCAAAAACAACTTGTCATTTCCCATGCAAATACGCACATGAAACAATATAGGTTTTGTTAGCACTATTCGCATCGCACGCGCCATCTGACAAGAAATACCTCTACCAGCGTCATGTTTCGATAATGTACTATGAGTTCGTATGCGCTTTCAAAGTTTGCTTTTTGCAATGGTTCGCCAGTTATTGTTTTGTTTTAAACATTTTATTTCTTTGTAAGATTATTGTTTTACCGAGATATAACCATTTTACTTCGGGACGACAATTAAATAGATTTCACGGTATATAATCCTACTTTTATTTGTTTTATATATCCCATGATTGTTATAATAATGAACAGATTATCTATAAACTTGCGTGTTACAAAAAATTGTTATTTATTTGTAAAATTATATATAATAATCTAACTTTATTTGTGGAGAACATTTGAAAACCGAAAATGAATTGAACCAATAAAGGAACTTTTAAAGCTCTTCACAATGGGAGCTACCGTATTTTTGGTCACAAGATGGCACGAACGTTAGAAGAGATTTTTGGTCCAATCATAACAGTTGTCAAATATTGAACATTCAATAGCGTCACACTAGCCAATTCCCTATTGGACAAAGAACGAGAGGTTCATACTTGCGCCATTGGTGAGCAAAAACACGGTGGCCCCTTTAAAGTAAGGGTTGCGTCCACGTTGCGTCATTTGACGATTGCATGCATACTTCACAAAAAATAGGCGGTTTAACGATCCCGCTTCGTGAGCAGTTATCATTGTATCTAAGCAAGCATTGTCATTTGTTGGCCGCCGTATTGTGTGTGAAGGTTGCATGCATTCGTCAAATGACGCAAAGTGAACAGTGCCCCTAAGGTTTTGATTCTTACAAATAAAATTTTCATTCTATTAGTGTTATAAACGACTCAGCTGATTCCCACATTACGATATCGGAGCACGAAACGACAGACACAAGCATAAACAGAACAGAGAATTCGGACCAATCAGAAGATTCTGAAGAATCAGACCATTCAGAGCAGTCAGACCTTTCAGAGATGAATTTTTCAGAGATGTCAGACTCTTCAGGGTTGTCAGACCTTGTAGAGAGTTCTGATTCAAGTTCAGACGGTTCAGAGACAAGTGGTTCAGAGATGAATGATGTTTTTATGGGTCATAGTACAATGCAGTCTGATAATATGGCGGCTTCAGTTTTGGATTCTGACACGGAACTCGGATGGGATGTGACGAATTCTTCTGTAGGCGTTCCAGAAGATACTAGTCAGTCTTCAATAGCTAGTCTGCTTGGTAGAATTGATGGTATTATTAAACGTAGAAAGAAAATGTAAGTTATTTTATATTACATGTAAAAAAATATTATTGGCCACGACGTGGCATTTGACGAATGCATGCAATCGAAATGTTACCGCGTTTAGCGCTGATTGGTTTGTTCATTGGAGCAAGCCAATCAGGATGCTTACTCTTGAAACCAATGTCAATGCAATTTCAAACCAATAAAATCTCATTATTCAATGTGAACACTAATTATTCAGAGTACTGAATATAAAGCCAAACGCAATACCATTTAGTTTATTCATTAAACACGCAATATGGATGCAATAAGCGCTAGTGATGCAACTTTAAGAGTACTTTGTAATTTAGGAAATTCTATTGGATTCAAGAGTAAGTCCCCTGAGTGCCGAACATGGCCTCGTTTCCATTACTATAAATGTAAAATAAATAGTACAAGTAAGGGCTTAGTTTAGGCGCTATGTCATGCTAAGCAACCCTTAGTTGAGATATGGTTTAGGGGTTGTTGAGGAAACCGATTATAAGTGTTATAAGAAGATTTAAAAGAGCGTCGCCGCGTCGTTTAAAATTTTAACATTATTTAGTGATCTTTATAATAAGTATCGCGAGACATACTAAATTAACTAAAATCGCGGGTAAAAGCACGCTGCTCATGAGGAAGAACCCCTCTGTGGTTCGCTTAGAGCTTTTCTCAGTATATTCACGTGAGTAACCCGCGACTTTAGTTAATTTAGTTAATTAAATTATTTAGTAATTGTACACGCAACCAAGTCATTTAGTATGTGGGTAAGAAAACAAAGATTGATTCAGTACAGAGACAGTAGCTATCGTTATACTAAGATATGTAAGTGTGGGAGAGCCATTCGGCACGAATGGGCCGGCTCGACCGGAGTAATACCACGGCCGAGCAGAAAACTGACGTGAAATAACGCTTGCGTTGTGTTTCGTCGTGTAAGTGAGGTTACCGGAGGCCCAATTTCTTCCTCAATCCCTGAATCCCCAACAATCCACAAATTCCTAATACCCAAAAGGCCGGTAACGCACTTGTAACGCCTCTGGTATTCCAGGTGTCCATGGGCGATGCCGATTGCTTGCTATTAGGTGATCAGTCTGCTCGTTTACCTTTACCGGCTTACCTGATAAAAAAAGCATATTACATAACATCACGCCTTTTATCCCCGAAGGGGTAGGCAGAGGTGTACATTATGCCACTGTACAATGTAACACCCACTTTTCACTATTTATGTTATAGACTACAGGCCCGTGTTACAAAAATGATGGGTCATTTGAACCACCAGATGACCTATGTAGAACGATATAAGAGCATAAAATAATAAGATTCAGCATTATGCCGTCACTTGTAAGCTGTCCAACTGAGTGCAGGTGAGAATTCAAAAGTACAGGTAGAGTGAGTGTATTTTGGTCATATATTTTTGTACGGCATTCTTACTATCGATAGATCCATGAAAAATAATAGGACAACGCGTAGTGCCGTAAAAAAATGGTGCGCCAAAAAGTCGGATTTTTTTTTTGATTTTCCGACAATTTCCAGGGTGAATTTGGTCATTTAATTTTGTACGGCATCAGTTTCATGCTATTTCAGTACTGCTTCTAATACATTATTCCGCAACGCCGTACAAAAATCATGCGACAAGGGGAATAAACCGAGGGTTGCAACCCCCTCTCTTTCTGTGGTCCAAGGGGTGATTTGAAAAAGTACGGCATTGGTTCCAAAACATTATCTGACACTTAAAAGTACTATTAAAAATAATGCCGTCAAAAAATGATTGTTCATTTGAATGTTTATCAATAATTATCTTAATTTTATCGTATTCTTGATTTATAAAGGTGTAAAATCATTTGATCCTGTACGGGAACTTTTTTTTTAACATGATATTGTAATATACAATTGTTATATAGTATTGCCGTTCAAAAAAAACTGTTCTGAAAAAAATTATAGAGAAACACAAAAACTGTAATTTTTCAAATTATTGAAGAAATTTAAATATCATACATTAATGAAATATAGCAGTTTTCTACATTGTATCCCATGTTTTAAATAGTATTAACATAAATAAATTAGGAAAAAATGATGCCGTACATTTTAATGCAGACCGTATCTTTTAGGCTGATGAAAATGACGCTACTATCTAAAGGGTACTTTATGGCCATCTGATACAGTACGGCATTAACATATTTTTGAAGAGAACAATTGATAATATGATTAAATCACTATGACGTCTAACTGAAGTGAAACGGTGTGTATATTATATCCAAAAATTGAAACTGTCAATCACAGTATCAACAGTTTTGTATACTTTTTGGTTTACTATATACTTCGAACATTATTGATACATATATATAATTGATTTATTTCATTGTAATGATGTGAAGAAATAAAACAATTATTTTTAAGAAAAATTTGATATATTTAATAATGATGATAATACAAAATATGGTTTCTATTTAAATTATTCAGTGTCGGAATCAGCCGCTGAGTTGTTATCAGAATCATCGATGTCCGAATTATCTTCTCTATCATTTTCTGAAACATACATATGTTTTTGTCAAAATCAAAGTCTTACGTACAGATTAAAGATGTTAAGATTTATTAATTTACCTATGACGTCATTATCTTCTTCGCCTGATTCCTCATCCGGTGCCGTTATGTCACATACTTTTTGGGGATATAAGTGGCAACATGTCTATATTTTGGTATAAATCGATAGTATACAAACCCATATTTAACATAGTTTCTAACTAGAAACGTAGAATCACGAAAAGGCTATAAAAATTAGTACGAATAAACTATCTAAATGCCGTACTTTTCGTTATATGAATTTTTTCTTTTTCATTTTTTCTTTTTCATTTTTTTCCCCTTTGAACCAACGAAAATGTACGGCATATGAAAAAATATTATCTATGCATAAAATACTTTCGAAATAAATTAATTTGATGTTGTGTCAAATCACCCCTTGGACCACAGAAAGAGAGGGGGTTGCAACCCTCGGTTTATTCCCCTTGTCGCATGATTTTTGTACGGCGTTGCGGAATAATGTATTAGAAGCAGTACTGAAATAGCATGAAACTGATGCCGTACAAAATTAAATGACCAAATTCACCCTGGAAATTGTCGGAAAATCAAAAAAAAAATCCGACTTTTTGGCGCACCATTTTTTTACGGCACTACGCGTTGTCCTATTATTTTTCATGGATCTATCGATAGTAAGAATGCCGTACAAAAATATATGACCAAAATACACTCACTCTACCTGTACTTTTGAATTCTCACCTGCACTCAGTTGGACAGCTTACAAGTGACGGCATAATGCTGAATCTTATTATTTTATGCTCTTATATCGTTCTACATAGGTCATCTGGTGGTTCAAATGACCCATCATTTTTGTAACACGGGCCTGTAGTCTAT